AACTTTTTTTTTTTTAAATTGCAAGCACTGCAAGCTTTGAACTCGTAAAACTTTATCGAGTCATAAAAGAAAATTCAGTAGCAGATCAACAGAGGTGGTTTGTTCTTTGCTACGTATGTCAACACCATAAGCTTGGTGCGTATAGTACAATCTGCAATTTTCCACGAGCGAAGAACGCAAAAGCTCGTATTCTTCCGTCAGTGGTTTCAGTTTGAACGACCCTTTGCATATCTTCCATCTTCTCCTCTATCGATCCGTCAGCGCACGAAACGCGGTACTTAAGCATGCAGGCTAGTAAATTTCAGTATCGCCGGAATACGGCGAACAGCGAGCAAGTAGCTCGTGAACGGGATAAACACCGCCAGTCAGTCAGTCTTGCACTGTTTCAAGTGCAATAATCAGAGATCCAAGCGAACAACGTTTCTCGCGAGAACACGGAAGAATGGAAAGCTGATTGGATGTTTGAAATGAGCTTCAAAGGAATCGCGTGATTTCTTCACTTCTGGATACAATCTCGTTCAACTTTTAATACCGCGAAACAAGTTTCCAGAAAAAGTATTAACGTTTCGTAATTGTACTCATTTTCCCCGTTCACTGAAATGATAAAATGTTGCCATGTATGTGTTATAGTTAGACACATCTAAACTTTACTTATGGATATGGATTATTAATCTATAATTTATTATCTTACATTCTCGTTACGATACTAAGACTATTGAAAATTTATCTGTCTTTTCTTCTATTAATGTGGCTAAAATTACTAATTCTATTTTACCCTGTAACTATCCTTAAACCTTGTTTAAACCTACCCTTGTTCCTGCTACACCTTTTGATAACTCCTGTAGCAGTCAACGTATTAAAATTTACTCCTAATATTTTTTTTTAATATTAGAATATCGACAGTTATATAGTTGCCATACTCGGTAGCAATGACCGTTAGATTGTGAATACGATATCGACGAACTATAGACATTGAACGTAGATAAAAAGTTGATATCCACAGTGACAAGCCATAGAGTGGGTGAACTGATATCGACACCTTATATCCAAGCGATGGGGATAAATACTAGCTACGCGATTGTCGGGGTGAATACCACCGACTTTAAGATTGTAGGAACAGATGCTAACTTCTTCGATACTTTGTTACCGGATATTAATGACTTCATGATGATGATACGGGGTATCTTGAAAGCTTTCGAGAGAAGCAATAAATAACGATCCTTAGGTGGGATAAAGGGGTATTGAATTGTACTCGAAAGTTTATGAATCAAATTCTGAATCTGTCTTACGATCAGAGGGACAAATGTATCAACTTTATAAAACAATCAAAGTTTTAAGGAATCAGATATTAATAATTATATATAATTTTTAAATTTTGCTAAAACGTATGAGAAACCGAAAATATTAGATCAGGTCAAGTTCTCGAAATCATAGATGTGGGAAAAATCGAAAATACCGGTTCGGGTCGAGTAGGAATTGTGGTACGAAAAGGTCATTGACATTCGCCCCTTTATCGATGCTTAAAAGTTTGAAAAAGGACTACTTCCTTCAGAAGAAATCTCCACCTTTTTGAGTGGACATTTCCACCCTTACGAAATGGCAAGTGGAAGAATACTACTTTTCTCTTTTTTTACAAAACTGAACTTTAAGCATCACAAAAAGCTCGCCTTTAATAGAACCTTTTCTGTATTTGATTATACATTAACAGTGACCTGTGCAGTAGTCAATATGTTAAATCAGTATCATCTTATCTTTTTACACTCTAAAAATGTCTCACTTTTAAACATTTTCGAGAAAGCAAATTGCTTCTTTGCCAACTGTATTACCCGCAGTTTAAATAAATTCACTCGCACGATTTTCAAGGTAAGCTTTCAAGCTTCTCGAGTTTTCAGTCCAAATTCGCAGTGCGCTCATTTTCCTTGGCTCTGAAATAATGGATGTGCAACGAAATGAATAAAATTCTTGGCGTTTGTTCTGCGCGTTATTTCATTCACCGCTTCGACCAAGTGCATCTTTTCCTTCTATACTTTCCGCATCCGTTAAGCACTGTATCGCAGTATTTTCCGACAGTTGATGTACTAAAAAGAGTTTTGCGTATCCGGACACCAAACGACAAAGCGATACAGCGCCAAGAATTGTCTCGAGTTTTGCTTATTTCTCGACAAATTCCATAAATATTATTATTCTGTAATTGTTAGTACACGAGAAATCCTTGAAAATAATGAGGAGATAATTTTACTAACGAGGGAAGATTTCCAAGATTTCTATTTCATAAAGTCATTAATTTCATTTGTGTTCTAGTTGCGACACGATTCTTTAAAGTTTTCGGTTCGACAGTTTTCGTTCTAAATATTTCTAAGAATAGGTAGTAATAAATGTTCCTTCGATAATGAATCGAAGAAAAATTAATAAGGTTTCTATCTTCATAGAACGGTAATTATTGTGCCGGTTTAAATTGCAAATTGTAATGAGGTTCTCTCTTCATCGGGCTGTGATCGATTTCAAATTATCTCGTCCCGTCGATGCTTCACGGAACAATTACTAAGTAAGAGAAAGAAACGCTCGAATGATACTGAAATTTTATTGAATACGTTATCGAGCTTCGTTTCTACATTTTTATAATGAAGATTAGTTACAGAAAGATGCACAATTTAACTCTCGAACCGCTGAGCAGAATCAATTGTGATCCATAGAAAACGACTCTAACGATATTTCAAATAAAATTAGATGTATCAATATTGTAGCAATATTCAAGATGTAGCAATAACGTAAAGTTAAAATTTTTTATACGTTTTTCTAAACGTTTTTTTCAAATGCGAAAAATCAAACAGAAAAGACGGGAGAGACGGGAACCCGGGACATCGCCACTTTTTCCAGGGAAGCCTGATTTGATCAAAAGTGTACTTGATAGATATATCAACAACGTAAAATATTATTTAGCTGTGTTTTCTGTACATACGTGAGCCAAGTGCTACGAGTGTAAAATACATTTGGATAATGTACAAAATTTAACAAAGGTTAACATAGATTTACAAGTATAATTCCAGAAAATGTACAAAGAATCCCAACCTTACCCTACATAACCGTTAAATAGATCTCAAGAAGATTGAAAAGAAAATATGGAAATTGAATCGCGATTCGATTCACGAATATCGTATCGGAATGATCTACCAGTTTCCTATGCAGAAGGTTGCACCCTCCATCTGGTGATATTTATTACCACACCAATCTAAAGGATATAGCTGATCAACGCTACCATCAAATCGAACGAGATTGGAAGGAGCCGATTCTTATTTTAACGTTCGGTTCAGGTGTAAAATTTCACCACCGTGTCGCGTAAGATTTCAATGTTCCACTCTTATCCTTATATTGGTAATACCAAAAGAATTAGGTCAAATAGCACTTCAGAAATCACTTTCAATACAATCTGTCCCATACGACTACTGAAAATAAATCTTCTGAAGCACGTAAAAGATGTTCTTGATCGTTAAATAAGTAAGAATGAAAGTACATGGAACTGTACATTTTGGTGATTGAATGTTTTAGTGCAATTTCTTGGATTAACTTTGAAGGTTTAATAGGAATTTCAAGGTTTCCGTGACGCCGAAGGTATTATAATAATCCCTTCGTCAAACCCTTGATTATCCTAAAATACACAGGAATTTGCATTTCAATCATTGATCGATCATAAGACAGCTTTTGCAAAGAATAAAGACCATAGTTTACTTTCCATAAACTCTTCTTTGTACTCAAAAATCCTTTCCCATCTCTATGAAGTATCTTTTGAAAAATTTTAAATTAAATTATTTATGATCTCCAAAATCTCATAAGCAATTAAAATTAACCATTTAATGCGGTACTTACACGTGACAAACTTGATGGCATAAGCGGTAATTAATTGACATTAAATACATTCTTTAAGTAAATCATTTTTAATATTGAGATTTTGATATTGCCATTTTTCCTACGGAAGTTTACTGTGCTCGATACTGAACTTGCGTGTGTACATTAAACCAGTAGAGGTTAAATGGACCCCTGAGGAATTGTTTCATGTTCACGATCATGCTTTGAACGTATAATTGTTTACATGTTTGTCATGACGGCTCGGGTTGAATTTTAGTCATCGACAAACAAAGCGGTCGTCGCATTTCAGAGACTGTTTGTATTCGTTCCAACAAATGTGGACTAAAATAATATTGTATACTTATTATTTCCGCTGATTGCATCTCCCAAGTGTATCTAAATTTGCATGATATTTATAGTGAAATATTGGAAAGCGGCCTACCATTTAATCTGTCTCTACCACACTTCATTCATAATTTATCGAGTTACTAAGTAATTACAATATATATATAAAATACAAAATTCATACTGCATTGTGGTATTACGATTAACTTCTAAATCAAAGAGAAAATCTGTTCAGGGATTTTTCCATTTACTTTTTGCGACTGTCAGCTAAAGCTTTTTATTTCAATCGAGAAGCAATGATTTGACCGATTTTAATCCGAATTTAGAATTTTCAAACGTTGCTGTGAATGTTTCTCTACAGCTTAAAGTCTCTCATGTTTGAGATGTTCAATATTACAGCCTGATTTCTCGGATTTTCCTCTGGGTTTTTTATTTACTATCGTTTTAGTAGTCCAGATTTCATGCATTAGATTTTTACATTTCGGTATGTTTAAGATTTTGCTGTATTCCAACTGGAATTCTGGAAATAACCCACGGTTCCTAGTGCAGACCATTTTATTATCATTTTCAATTTCTTACTATTATGTATAGAACCTATGAAAATTGATCAGTATATTAATATAACAAACGTTAATAGATCTTTAAACATTAAAGTGGTTTTCAATTCTTTTGTTACATTATCAATTTAAATTTAGAATCCATATACAATACTATCTACAATTCTCCATAATAAATAAAAAGGAAAAGCTACATTTCTACAACCTACTTTTTTTATTAAAAAAAAAAATAAATAGAAACTCTACCAAAATTTGACCATCTGTTTTCCTGTCGTTCAGTAAATTTTGTTTTATTAAACTAATATAGCGTTGGACATATTCATAAATAAATGAATGACGAGCGCGCTTCTAATGAATATAATGATACGTCTCAAGCAGCCCTGATGAATTTTTGTTAGACCGTACGACAAGTCAAAGGGTTAAAGCGTACACATCGCCCAGCGTAATTATTATTCCTGATACGAGTCGTTCTGAAAGCGTTTCCCTTTCGATTCCCAGCCGGAACGGCATAGAAGCTTTCACGGATTGGCTTTTGCCAACTCGCTCAGCGGCACGCTTGCGCGGCTTTCAAGGCGAGCTTTTGAGCTTTCGAGTCGCACCGCGAGCCGAGACACGTGGAGTCGTCTATTCCTTCGCCGAGCAACTTTCGCGTTTTCCGTATCCGCGCCAAACACCGCCGAATCGAATGAAACATCACCCGAGTGATTCGTTTCAAATTCAACGATCATGTGATCGTGTACATAATTGAAACGTGCTTAAGGTATCTCGATTAATTAGCGATCGTTGTGAGTGTCTAATTGGTGAAAGGATTACTGAAAAAGGTGAAAGGACACTAGGAATTGTGCAACAAAATTGTGCTCTCTTTCCGTTTGCTTATCTCTTTTCACGCATCGTCGAATGCTTTGCCTGATTTAATCCTCTGCATTCTTGTGCATTCGTCTAACGGTGATTCAACAGCTACTTCGGTTATCAAAACTAAAACGACCGTCGTGTAAATATTACCGAGGGAGAATGAAATAGAAATAGCTCTTAGAAAATAAATTTTGTGGGAACCGGATTTTCTTAGGGTTTATTCGATTGCAATCGCCAGAGGATAAATGTAGGTCGGAAATATTGGCTCCTTCCCTTTAGCAGATGCGTGTGCACCGAAGTTCAAGCATATGTGTCGAAGCAATTTGAAACTTATTATAATGTGTCGCAAACTTATTTCAGATTTCTTATTTTCAATTATAAAATTTATTAAAGTACTTTTTATTTAAATATACGTTAACTTTTATGGTCATTCCTTGTTTATTTACTTTATTTTCAATTTAAACGTCAGTATATATCAAACGAACTTATTTTACTTGTACACTAGAATATTTGTATTCTTTATAAAAAATTAAATTTCAAATGAAAATATTTTGCTTTCAAATATATTTTCCTATTACGGATCATTTTTCTTTTTGAAAAGCGAATACAAATCGGTTAATCCTTTATTTGACAACTAGAAAAATAAAATGTTACCTCAAAATTCATTTTCGTCCACGTTCAAATGTCACAGTTTACCAACGAGAATTTATACTTTATAGCCGTGAATTTCGAGGGTGGTCGGTAAATCAGTCCGCGAAAACAACGAGCTCGTTTCACGCGCGAATTTCCATGGAAATCGTGATCTGTCGATTGAAAATTTAGTATTTCGAGATTGCGTTCACTCGTGCCCACATAACCGTCGGCGTACCGTTATTCGAGGTACATGCTATTCGAGGTATATGCCGTATTTCGTTTCCGCCAAATCGTGATTGCCTTCTTGCTTGTCGCTGGAAATTTCATTTAGCCCGCCACTAGATCTCTCGGTAAGGCACGAACGAAATTAAATGGCCAGCAGTCGCGTTAATTTGATGATCGTAAACGAGCGAGGCAAATGAAACCTTCCGATAAGTAATTTTCGTCTTGATTCCGATCACATTCTTTCGAGGAAATTCAAATACAGCTTTCGATACCGTGCTTTGAAGTCACGTAGCTCGAAGAATTTCATTGAAGTTCCCTTCTTTCTTACTAATTAAATTAACGTGGAAACTCGTGGACTCTGATTTAACATAAAATGATAAAAATTGTAAGAATTGTTATATCAATGTTTTTTGGCCGATCTTCAATTAAAAATACGTCTCCAATTATTAAAAAAGATTCCAAAAAATGTCGTGTCATAAAAACGCAGCTTATTACATTTCGTTGATTTCCAATGAATAATTTTCACATGTTTGAAAATGACAATCAATATTATATTGGAGCCGATAGTTTGCTCTACGTACGAGCAGGTACGTTTACTGGAAAAACACTTTTCTTCCTTTCTCATTGGGTGAAACGATATTTCTGGTCCGCTTTCCTGGAACACGAATCACCGATAGAGAAATGTTTGAATCGCTCCCCGGCTTATTAGATCCCGTTTGTCAAGAGAGATCTCGGTTCCTAATGCAATGAGAGATCCACTGATATTGGTTTAATTTAATTAACTTTGTCCGACTATGGTACACGAGCGTGTCTCTTTTATTTTTCATCCTCAGCGTACCAACTCGATTTACAAACGACTATTTGAAATTAAATTTATTTCCGCCCATGGCTATCTAATTACGAGGGAAAGTGTTTTTTTTTTATTCGTGAGTGTTCATTAGAAATGTATGAGTACTTTCGACAACCCGATCTAATCTACACAATTTTTGTCCAACCCGAACAATTCCTATCCGACTTGATGGAAAAATTAGTCAACAATCAATTAGTAATTGACTGCAATAAGATTAGCATAAAGAGCTATGTAAAAGATTCTCAAAATGTGCTTTAATCCTCAAATGGCGGACTATGGAAAAAATCCCAATATTTATTTAATATTATTATTTTCAGTTTCTAAATCTTACGCTCTTTCTTGAAAAATTATTCTCCCAATATATAAAACCCTTCCATTTGAAAAGCATACATTTAGCTCAACGTTAATACCCTTGTATATGGTTTGCAAATTTAGGTCGCGATTGACTCAGGTTCCGCTGTTTAAGGGTTAAGACAAAAAATACTGACCCTAATTATTTCGTCAAACATTTAAAACTATCGTGTAATAAGAATTTTTTGGCGCACCGCAGTTTCCTGCGTAATAATCACTCGGACGTGTTTAAAATGACACGTCTCGGTATTATAATTCATTATTCTTTCCAAACAGAGGAAGAGTGCCACTTATCTTCTCGAGACGGAAAAATAGAAGAACTTCTCTCCGTTATTTCCGCGAGGAGACGCCGATTAACAATGTCGCAGCTGCGTGGAATGCAATTAAAATCGTCGTAATAGCTTCGCTAAAGTGGATTTACATAATTCACGCTGAAATTTACCACAGTTAATTTAATAATCCCATCGTATAAAGCATTCCCATCGAACCCCCATGATCACGATGTATCGATGGTACATTGAATATTCCTGTTTATTAGCGTGTACGGCCTCGACGTCCGACCGATTCCCGAGCGAGAGTTCCTGCACTCCTCTGAAGCATGTTGAGCAGCTAGATCGTGAAATTCTGTCCTTAATTTTGGATTGTTCGGAAATCCTCCACGTCATCAGAGAACGAGGAATTTCTAATCAAGTCGCAATTAGTCCTCCTTATCATTAAACGTTGATTGGAATCGCTAAAAAATTCAAAAAAAAAAAAATTCAAGAAGGAAACCCAGAAATCCAGAGCTGATTTGCAAAAGCAATCCTCTTCGAAATCAATTCGCTCGATTGCAGCGGCCTTTCAAAGGCACCTTGGTTCCAATCAAAACGAAGGAAAACGTCGAAAAGATTCGGTAGACGACCTAGAATCGTTTATTTCTGGTGCAATTTCGCGAGGGCTGAAAATCGTCGAGGAAAGGTGAGAAAGCACAGCCCTCGTTCGATGCACCGCTGCCCTTCGACGATGGGGATACGTCACGATCGAGGAAGTGCACTCGACGCGGCCACTCGGTTCCGGAGTCACGTATACCACGCCAACTATTAATTCACCGAGGCCTCTTGAGCTGGAGGGCGAGAGGAAGGCGAGACGAGGGCTAGGGGCAAAGAACGGGGACAGGAAGTGACGAAATCACGGGGACAAAAACGTGAACAGGAGATATAATAAATAACGGAATGAAAGTAAAAGAAAAGTGAGAAATAATATAGGGGTTGCTATAATTGCTTTAATGACAGCAAAACCTAAGTGCTGGATTTAACTCCTTATTGTACTTATAGAGGATCTCCCATCTAATTTGAACCTCTACAAATTCGATTTTATCGAAAACTAAGCCTAGCAAATATTATTATTTTATGAAGAATAACCCGCTATTCGGTTATATCGCGCCTTACATAAAATTATATTAAAATTGAAGAAAACGTGAGAAAAATAATCTGCTTGATTCTTTGATAGAATTCACAAAAGAGAATACGAATTATCTGGGAAAGAAGATCTGGGATAAGAGGAAAATAGGGAAAAAGAAGGAATCGGGCTGTGGAAACGATGACGAAAGGTGCAAAACGACAGGCAAGAACTGAAACTAGGGTAAACGGTGGAGGGTCGAAAAAACGAAACGATCGAGGATAAAGGGAAAAGTAGAAAGAGAAGTGGCCGTGATATAGCAACTTTTAGTGCTGGTGAAAAACAAAGACGAAAGAACAGGATCACTCGGATTGTTGGCAATTTATCGGTGGTTTGTATAGCTGGAGGAATTAGGGTGACCACTCGATCGCATCGGCGTGCAATTTGCAAGAACCGCGTGAACCCACGTTTGCTTCCCGATACTCGATTGGACACTTGCGCACTCAGAACCGCAATGATTTCCATTATATGTGATATCGCAGACACTGCGCGTGCTATCCATGGTTTCACACATGCGGAATTAGGGATGGGATAAAACTCAATACAATCACGTATCGATATATGTTTCTGATCATTTAAGAATAACTAATTTTGTATTTAGAAATGCACAATAATTATAATTAAATTGTCATTTAATTTTCAAAGGGGAAATTAAAAGGGATCATTTTTAATCACTTAAGTCATTAAAAAATGAGTCATTAAATACTGAGTTGAATAAAAAATACCAATGTCTTTGAGAAAACAAAAAGAGTTTGTTTTGCAGGGTATTTCTTCATTGAAACTTTTGAGATTATGCTATGAACATTTTTTATATCATGAGAAACGAAGGAAATATTTCAGTTTCTACTGAAGCACCCAGTATATGGGGGAGCACACGACGCGTACACGACACAGCTGTTGAGAATGCCGCGACACGATTTCCCTCGGTCACGTTGTTTGATGGACTTTCATCGAGATTCGCGGTCTACCAAGTGAGACTGAACTTTGCCCTTTGCCACTTTTGCCAAACCATAGCACCACCTCCAACGATACAAGCTTCTCGCTCCTCTCCCTTCTCGAGGGCGGTCGTGATAAAGTACTACGACATTGGTGCTTTGCGAAGATTTTTACTGCGGCTGCACCGTGGCCCGGTTCTCGGAGAAATGTTACGGAAACGCGAGACGATCGTTGGGAATTTTGTGCTTCGAAAGTTTTACCAGAGTAACGGGAACGTTTCGTTCGTCCCGCGCGTGCGAAAGTGATAAACGAGAACGGTCACGAGGATCCCGCGAATTTGCATATCAGTCACGTTACCGCGTCGTTCGACTTCCCTTCGATAACTTCGTTTCCCTCTGTCCAACCATAGACACACCACTGATTCCTCTTTTTTTCGTTGACAGATATTGAAATCTTGATAACAGTACTCGAATATTTTTGATGGGAACTGAATTTGTTATAGGAAAATAAAGTAAAAAATAGATTTTTTCGAATACTAATAAAATAATAAATACTAATTAGATCTGTTTAGGACCCGTACGTGTATTTTTCATCAAAATTGCTTAAATTTTATGATAGCAAAAATGATTGATTCGAATAGTATCTATTTTGATTAAAAATTGATATTCCTTAAATTTTCAGTAAGTAGTTTCATAGTTTCTTGTTTCACGAAGATTTTCTGTCAGAAAATATTACATCACTTACGAACGAAGAGCTTATATTGACACATTTTTTATAAATTTTATATTTACTGGCAAGAAGGTTCAATGGAGAAGCTTGTATTAAAGTTCATAGTAAATTAGCAATTTTCTTGGCCACCTTTCAACTGGTTTCGTTGTAAATAAATTTAAAGTTTTATAAATACTTGAAGTCTCTTATAAAGAAATCTGCGAGGGACACTTTGTACTAGGGTGTAAATACAATTTACCAGCTCATAAAAAAATAATTTAATTTCTTTCTAGCATCATTTATGAGATTAATTATGCACACGATAATCAAAACGATATGATTGTCGTTCAAATTTTCGTCCGCGAGTGATAAAGATTTAGAAACAGTGATTACGACTGATGCATGATTAAGAAGTGATTAAAAGTGTACGGAACACCATGAGTAAGCAGGAGCCAAGAGGGCCCCCACCTCCGCCACTTCCACCACCATACCCGCATCAAAAGCTCTTCAAGAAGTGCAAGAGTGCAACTTTCCAGTTGGATGGTGCGACGTATACTATAGGTAATTAACACCATTTTTTTTTTTTTGAAAAATTAAGTTTTTAACATTCATTATTAATTGCTAAATTTCATAACAGCAGAAGCCTAATTTCCTCTTTCAATTTCAACACAGAATAATAAGTACTCTGTTATCTCTAGTGGAATCGCCTTTCATTTTAATTTCATTATTGCAACATAAGTATTATAAGATTTGAATTAACAAGAATTTAAATCAGTTTCAACTAATTGCATTTCAATTATCCTCTACTTCGGTAGAAAAATATATAGCAAACATAATTCTCTGTTGAAGTTTGTGAAAGCATCGTCACAAGTTGGCAAGTATATTTACCGAAATAAAATGATGATAATAGCCCAACAAATATATACCGTCGGAACGCTAATGGATTGTTATTGGTCGATTGCGTGGGGTGTCCTGGTACGATGGAAACCAACACGATCGGATTGCCGATGTCGTAAAGGGATTCTTAAGGACCACTTGTTTCATCGATACCGTTACACGCAAATATCACTTTCCTATACCGGTGTTTCGTTTCCTTTCTACGATTGAAACTTCTGACGTTTCTCACCAGAATAATGCCTCCTTTTTATGAACGAACGATTTCGTTTAAAGAGACTCGACAGACAAGTCACTTAGATACCAAGTAAAGTAAAAATATGTTTTTCTAATTTATTATAAAGTTCTAAAATCCTAAATTTGTAAAATTCTATTTCGGGGTTTGCATCAGTATTAACCTACTCGTGTTCACTAATTAAAAAAAGCACATAAATAGGACTTTTCATTAGCCCTATCCGGAACCTTCTTTCTAAAGCTGACATTTATCTACGAACGAAAACGTCTTCGCGTACCCTTTGACCTTCCTTATTGCCAAATCCGTAATTTTGCGACTTTCGACATAAACCGGCTAGCATTTTATTCACGAAGAACAACACGTTCTAAAAATAAAAAGGAAATGGACCTTTTGACTGCACAGTTCCCTTAAAATGTTCTCTAAAGAATTTTAAAAGCCTTACGTTGCGAAGCTCTTTGTTCTTCTACTTCCTAATCTTTGATTAAAACCTGAAAAATCAAAAGTCTGCTTTCTTGACAGTGATTAACTATGCCGCATAGCGAATAGAACGCTACATTTACCGTGAAACGTGCACGAAAATGTTGCAAGTCACCTTTGCCAATTTAACGAACTTCACGACTTTGTATTGTACATTTTCATCCAACGAACTGGCTGCGAAATGTATGCTAATTTCAAGAGAACATTAAATAGATTGTTACTGGCATTTGCACTGAGCTACTTCCGGGGTTTGGATTTGTTTCGTTCAGAGAAAAGAAAGTGAAATATTTTATTCAACTTAAATTAATTTTAAAAGCATAAATTTTGAATCTGTGCGGGTACCCGAAAATTTTAGACGGGGTGAGGTCGAGTACTGATTTGGTTCGGTTCTGATAGGGTCCCGAACGTTTATCTAGTATATAAATTTGTTCGAGTACCCGTAATTTCAGGACTCCAATATTAATTCGAGGTCTGAACTCGATTTGAAGCCAAAAAAAATTTCCGACCTGATCCCGAATCAAATTTTTGGAAACCCGCACACCCCTATTAAATATCATTTTACAATTGCATATTTAGGTTTTTTTAATAAAAAAATACCTAAAATTCTTGATTCAATGATTTAAAAAAAATACTTAGTAGTAAACGCATTAAATTCTGTTTAGACCAACATAGACTTGTGCAACAATGCTTTTCTCAGTTACTATTATACACATCAGCGGAGGAGGATATGGACAACAGGTTTACCTAGTTTTAATGAAAGCCGCGTTTCAGGCATCGAATATCTATAAGACCTCTTTCAAACATCTCGTTCCGATTTAATGCACGTGCATCAGTACGCCACTGCATAGTACATCAGATTTGCTGCGTTCATTGATCCATGAACAAAGCTCGAGAAGTTGTCCAACTTGTCTTTGTTGAATAATCGAATTTTCAGTCAGTCAAGCAGGGAGAAATAACTCCGAACAAAGTAGAGTTTGTTGGGTTTACAAGAAAGTTTTGTCTATTTAATAATGCATACAAAATAAACTTACACAGCTTCAGAGACCCTGAAGCTCTTTTAATTTTCATTTAAGTCATATGAAATAACAAATTTTGATTTTAAATTACGACCTACTCTTATTCAATTTTCACCATTAGACACTATCGAGTATCAACTTTGTCCCTTCCTATATTGCCATTTGTATGAACCCCGCTTTTACCTACGCGACGATATAAAAAGTGTCGACTGTATTATATGAAACGTTTAATCTATTTATTCTAGTATTAAATTTTCTAGTATTAAATCTAGTTCGTTTAATTTTCCACAATTACTTCGTGCAATTTTTAGGACCGAATAATTAAACATTACCTTTGCGAAAGGATTAACGCGATTTCTCTAATGTCTAACGCAGTCGTTAAATCGATGCCAAAGTAAACGAGTCTCAACCCTTTGTTCGTTTAAGGAGGATACAAGAAAAGTGGAACAGTTGCAATTACGCGAGGCAATAAGCGTGAGACAAAAGATGGAACAGAAACGGTCCTTTGCAGAAAAAGCACTCACTTGGACAAGTTTTTGAAGGAAAACGTTGCTACGATAACGGGAACTTCTACGAAAACGAGGGGAAGCAACCATTAAAATGGCAACCCATGAGGTTTCGGTGGCTGGAAAAATAATTATGGACGAGTGAAAAACAAAGTTGTTACCTTCTCTTTGAAACACGTTAAAAACGTGCTTATATATTCTGCTGCTAATGAGTTCGCGTTCACTCGAAAACAAACTACACAGCCAAATTACGTCTATTATAAAGTACGTTTTCTTAATGGTAAATATAAAACAAAATATACTTTTCTTTTCGTACAAGAATATAAATTATAATACAATACAAATTGATATCCTTATATTAAAGGGTTAAATATTATTGCAAATCGTGACCGAATATCACCTTATCACTTCACTGAAAATTTTTCTTAATTAATTGCTAAAAAATTAAATAGACGCTCATAGCTCACGTAGTCGATTAAATTCCAACCCCAGTGGTTAAGAGGCTCAGTGATACGTAACAAAATCTAATTAACTGGAGTATTATATTATATTCAACATATATATATATATATCAATAACCGTTATATGTAGTAGATGCGATATTAGAATTCTATAAAAATTCATTTAATAAAATAAAATTTAATTTCAAACTTTCAAAGTTCACCCAACTGAAATATTCGGTTAAGCAATTAAAATATTCCTATCACGTTGAATTCCACCTTCAAGAGATTAAGGAGCTGAGTGAAAAAAGCTTTTTTCTTGTATATTGTTAATATAGGACGGTGTTATTTAGAACGTGAAATTTGTTGCACAACGTCAAAGGAAATACAGTATTACTCGTGTGTAGTTCGACCCTTAAAGAAACTGGGTAAGAGCATTTAGGTAAGGGAGCTCCGGGCTGTGAAAGAAATCTACAAAATTCACTGTTCCAAGACGACTTGGGTTAACCGTACAACCACCGTAGAAATTGAATTTACCCCGAAAGCTTTACTTCTTTCATCCTTCAGATTCGTTTATTATTTTAACGGAATTCCACGCAGTAATGTATTCCTTTGCGAAAGAATCAGTTTCCAAGACGAAACAGTGAATCATCATCGTAATAAGAAACAATTTAAAAGTAATTTCCTTCTTTCATTTAAACTTCTTCAGTTTTCACAATATGTACAAAATGTCAGGATTTTCACAAAAAATAGAATTGCCTCTGAAATTTACAGATATTCTCTATTATGAAGAGTTCTTATGGCTTCTTCGATATCATGTAACTTTTGTAAATAACTTATTTTAAACCTTTGGAAATATCAACGATAATTAAGTAATCAAAGTTAGTGATCCATCCTGAATATTTCAATCAATCTGTGTGTAGCTCCTTACTCTTCAATCGTGATTGACACAGATTGATGGCATGCTAGTGTTTGATTGATGCGGTGCTTTAGTATATCCTTACTATCGTAGCTTTTTATTTGATTACAAATCAGCGTTGTAAGATTTAACTTGTCATTTAACTTGCTATTCTACAATAAATCTTACGTTCCAGATTACACTGTGAATTTAATTATTTATTTTTAAAATTCTGAAAATCTAAAACTCTAAAACTCAAAAATTCTGAAACTCAGAAACTTAGAAATTCAAAAATTCTAAAACGTTAGAATAATTAATTCCTGTTTGTTTATACCTATTCTTATTCATTGATAAATGATTACATTTTAAATTCTTTGCAATTAAATCTATTTATCATAAATTACTGACCGTACACTTTCCAAAGAACAAAAGTAAGAAAAATCACTATCAGGAATCGGATCATGGAAGTTTCTCAAACTGCATCGGAAATTCATATTTCATATCCCATACAGAACGAATTTAGGACGATCTTCCTTAATCACTCGTTGCACCTGTGAGCTCCATGGAATAAATTTTCTGCACACATGCACGGTGCACATTAAGCTGAATAATTTCTTTCTATTTGTCGTTTATTCATCCTATCGATTCGTTCGATTCACAAATGCCTCGAGAAAAATCGTACAAATTTATCAGATGCAATCTTCGTTGCTCGTATTTCACGGTAATTCGCTAACAAGCTGACAGGATACGACGAAACCGTAAAATCGAAGGTACTTCTGAATATTAATTCATTATGCATACAAGGATGGATGCTCGTTAAGTCTCCTCGATGAAACCAGAGAGATATCGTCAATTAATTACACAAACCGGAACGGTTATTATGGCGATAAACAAGGAGCTGGCGAAACGATATCTTTTTCTATATTTTACTTTCAGCTACCGAAAGAATTATGGAAATTATCAGTATTCACAGCTAGCACGTTTCTACGTTCCTCGAACGAGCATCTCGTGAATTAAACAATTCACCGCTGGAAATAATGTTCTGAATGAAACGAATGAAAGTAAAAGGTGAAAACTTTTACTCTGTTCGTGGGA